ATTGGCCACTGATGTTTACAAATGGGTCCTGGTACAAAAAAGGTTGAGAACTATTGCTCTAGGAGAGGGGTGGGCAATTATTGCAGGTGGAGGGCCACTTACTGAGTTTTGGCAAGCCACCGAGGGCCACAAGGGTGGCTTCGCACCATGACAAGGTGCCCTACCCCCTGGTCACCATCTTGGGACTAGAAGTCCCACCCCCTAACCCCTGACCTTTGCCACCAGAAGTCCCTCCCCTTGCCCCCAGTAAGTACTCCTTTCAGCAAGGGTTTGCCATCTTAGAACCAGAAAAATACCAAATTATATTCTAAAAATCAAACATCTATTACAACATTCATTAATTTGATTTTAAAAAATATTTTTGTCCTGGTTTACATGTGTTTGTGTAATGTACATAGAGGTGATTGCATAATAGCTTAAAACGAAGTCCTACTTTTGTATGCTATGGAAGGGTGTGGGGGGTGGGTATAGGTTTGTGGGGGGTGGGGATGTGGCATGTGGGGAAGGGTGTGGGTGTGTGTGTGGGGTTGTGGAGGGATAGGTGTGGGGGGCGTGTATACGTGGGGTGTGGGAGTATGTGGGTGTGTGGGGTGTGAATAGGTATGAGGTTTGTGGGGGGCTGTGAGTGTGTGGCGGGAGGGTGGCTGGGGAGGGTTGTGGCATGTGTGGAGGGTGAGGATTTGCCCACAGCCTGCCCCCCTCCCCGTGGCAGGCAGAGCCCCTACCAGCGCTCTTCTAGGCTCAGGCTCCATGCTCCTGCAACTCCTGCCCCTGGAGCATCAACGCAGCCCCATGCTGCTGCTCACCACCACTTCCCCCTCCCCATCCATCTGCCACCACTGCCTTTCTGCCGCTTCCCTGTCACGTCCCGTCCCCCTCCCCTGCCAGCTTGCAGCTCCAGCACCATGTCTCAGCTGCATGGCTGAGACTGCAGGACACAGCAGGAGCTGAGCCAGCCTGGCCTGCAACGCAAGGAGCCAGCAGAGAATCGCAGGGGCCAGGCTGGCTCTGGCTGTGTCCTGCGGCCCAGTGCTGCAGCCAGGATCCACGTTGTACCAGAGTAACTGGCGGGTGCAAGGGGAACATGGAGGGGAGCAGTGACAGTGGTGGGTAAATGGCTGCAGCAGGCGGGGGGCAAGTGGGAGCCAGCAAATGCATGGGAGTGTAGCGATAGCTGGGCAGGAGCGAGGGGCCCGCACTGGTGTCCCAGGGCCAGCACCAACAGGGACCAGAATGGGGAGTCAGGAGTGTGGGGGTGGGGGCTGGCAGGGATCTATGGAGCCAGGACAGGCTGCACCAGAAGGGAGAGGGGGAACCAGCCCAGCTCCAGCCCCTGCCAGCCTGAGCTCCACGCCCCTCCCGCCCCACCCTGGGTCTCACCGGCCCTGGCCCTGGTACACTGGCATGGGCCCCACGCTGCCACCCAACTGTTGCTGCGCTCTGCCCGCCTGCTTGCTCCCACTGCCCCCCACCTGCTGCCGCTTTCAGCACTTCCCTGCCTGCAGCTGCCACCACTCCTATCTACCCCAAGCTAGCTGCTCTGGCACCATGTGGCTCCCGGCTGCAGGCTGGGACCACAGCAGCCAGCTTGACCTAGTCCTGAGGACTGAGGTGATTTAGCTGATTTAGGTAAAACCGGTTTATGGAACTTCTGTCCCAGATCCCTTCCTGGTTCAAGCTGACTCTCAGATCCCCAGCATCCCAGGAGGCTTTGCAGCCCTGTGCTTTTCTGTCTGCTGCAGTAGAGCAGGGACTGTCCTGCTCCTCTGATCCCTTCCCTGTTTCCTGCCTGCATCTGTCAACCCATGGGGATGGGGTGTA